AAACCTCTTCCTAATGTTTTGAAATTCATCTTCAACCTTGCGCGCGTATCAGAACCAACAACACTAATATTCAAATTTTTGCCAAATCTTCATTTCTCAACCAAATTAAAAAATGTAAACATGAAACTTGCTTGAAATTTCACCACGAATCCAACCATATAAATTTCTTAAGCTACAAATCAAAGATGAATGAGAATTTTACTGGTACCAAATAAAAACCTAATTTTTTCAGAAAGTTCAACTTCAAAATTCGCATCACTCAGGCAACATAAATGAAATCTAAAGGCATGGTTAGCTTCAGGGCTACGATGTCTACATTTTTCATTCACAAAGTAACCATTAATTATGCTTGTAGAGAGAGTTCAAATTTGAGAAAACTTACCTCAAAACTGGAAACCGTGTATGGAGTTTGAGTAACCTTGGAAGTATGGTGATGATCTGGATAGCTTCACTGGACTCCTAGGAAGCTAATGCAACTCTTACTTTGTGTTAAAAGTGCCTGAATCATGCTGGAGAAGTCAAGTTGTAGAGCTGAGTTTTAGAGATTGGAGGATGATGAAGATGGAGTTACAGTTGTGAAACAAGGATGGGGATGAGTTTTATATGATGTATGGAAGCTTTGTGATTGATTTGGATAGGAAACGCACGAGTGGATTGTGAGATGGAAGTTAAAGGTCAGAAATGACAAGCTATGGAGTTTTTTGTGCAAATTCTAGTTTGAGGGGGTTTGCAGGAGTTTGAGGGCTTGTGAATTCGTGTGTTAGGTTGCAAATAACCTCTCTATTTATAGGCAAGAGGTTTGGAAGCTTGAAAGGACCAGAAACAAAATATCACATGTTATGGTATTGCAACTTGATTTTGAAGCAAGCTTGATAAACATGGTTTTAATGCATAGTACAAGGGATCGTAGGGTGGATAGAGGCTTTAAACATGTTGCTTCTGAGCATACATGTTGAGTGTGATCAGAACAAACAAGTTAGAGGCTCAAGACAAGTTGACTTTGTGATTAAAGTCACTTTTCCAAAATGGAAGTGTGAACTTTCTTCCCTAAATGGCATAATCACTTGGACAAAGGCTCAAGCTCTTGGATCATAGCTCAATTAGTTATGTAAACATCTGATTATGGATGGATTTTCAAGTCAAGAGGCATGCAAAGCAATATTATGCATCATAGTTGTGAGATTGGATCATGTGTTCATCAAGAACATGACTTGTAATTCAAGAATGGATGCTAACTTCTTCTCTTCGATTCTCCTAGCTCAAGTCTGATCTATTAAATTTCTTGGACATTTTGGAAAGCTTAAAACATTGTCTACAAAATTTAATGTTGACCACTTTGGCTAAATCATCTTAGAACTAGGTTAAAATTGGTCAAGAAGTTAGGTAAAAAATCTGCCTAAACTAGTTGAAAAATTCACTAAGTGTTTTATGAAAAATGCCATGACTTCATGAGCCTATATCTTCAAATCTAAGCATTTTTTGGACATAAACCCTCTAATACAAAGTTGTAGAATTCATCAAGATATACAACTTTCATGTTTAAAGTTTTTCTTGAATCATCTTGCATTTTGGTGATAAATTGTCACAAAGTATTGAAATTATCAAGTATAAAAACACTTAAAAAATTTCTAAGTATTGAAAACTTTGACTTTTTGTGGACTTTCTTTGACTTTCTTGATTCTTGATGATCAGTTTGATATTATTGAGTATCTTGATCTTTTAAATTCAATGTTGATCAAAAAGTCAAAGTTTGACTTTTTGTGTATCAGTTGACTTTTCATCAGTTGATCAAAATTTCAACTATCAATCCATTGATATTGAGAAATGATTTGAGCCATGAAATTAGGTCAAGATATTGTGTTTGAATCCTTGAGATCATTCTTCAAACTATTAGGACATGTACTAGGTCAAAAGTCAATGATCAGTCATTCTCAATTAAAACCCTAATTTTGACAATTTTGCCCCTTTGATGATTTGAGTGTTTTTCTTGAGAAATTGTGATCAAAACTTGATCAATCGATGAATGTGACTTTAAAATGTTGATGTTGGCCAAAAATCATGAAGTTTGACTGCATATTGACCATAGTTGACTTTTTACCCAATACGACTGATTTTCAGTCATCTGAGCAATTGACTGAGTAAATTTGTAGTGCAAGACTTGAAACTTGGTATGAACAATATTAGAGACCTATAATGAATCATGAAAGTCATTTGAGGCATCAAAAGTCCAATTTTCCTTGAGAAAACCAAAACCTTAATATGTGGGCTTAGTGCTTAGGAGGTGAACTTGTCTGATCAAACTCTTGAAACTTCTTGAGCATTTGAGATCTTTTGTGAGAAATGTCTTGAGAATAGAGAGGGAAAATTTTGGGATACAACACACACCAATAAAAAATATGACATGAAAACTAGGTTAAGAACTGGAAAAATAAAGAAAAACATTAGTGATAAAAAAACAACTATCGAAGAAGGGTAATATGAATCATAACCAGAAGAGAGACTCTTACAACATGCATAATAGAAAGCATCTTGATGATATAATGAATATCTCTGATAATAATAATTTGTTAAAAACTTGCCCAAAAAAGGGAAAATATCATAACAACAGAAGAATTAAAGATACTATGAGGAAAAATAAAGAAAGAAATGTAAAAAGAAAAGTATGGATCTACCTGAGAATAACCACAAAACCTACAATGACCAAAACAGAAATCTCAAAGCTAATCCTAAGAACTAAGATAATGACAAAAAAAAGCTCTCACAATAATGATAGGATCAAAATTTTGAATATCGAAGAGCATGAGAAGAGAAAAAACAAGTCAACAACAATAAAGATGATATATATAAATGAAGAAAAAATAAATGTAAAGATAAAACGATTGGTTCCTCTGGGGAAGACCATGAAATACAGATTAAAAACCACATAATCCCTCAAAACAGTTGGATACCACTGAATCGGGGGATAAATCAATCTCAAATCAAATCATATGTCTAAGTTCCCTAGTTTTAAGGTTGGCACAAATTTTGTAAAACAAATATAACAACAATATGTTAGATAGGATGTGTTAACTTGCTAATAGGAACAAGTTCGAGCAAGAACTCATATTCTATGTTAGGACATGTTGAGTTGAAGTGTTTCAACACCTGGAACAACATGTCAGATAAGATGTCCTATGAAGGAACATACGACATCGCGCCCGAGCTGAGCTGAATTAGTGGATTCAGTTATGATTTAACAGATGCAAAATATTCTGGGAATATTATGCAATATTATGTGGCATTGATTTAAAGGTCAAGAAGAATCAATTCAGAATATTGAAGAATATGTAGTTTCTAAATATGGAGATATTTTAGGAAACTAATGATTAAAGACCTTGTTTGTAGCATAAGTTATTGCTGATTGTAACAACGAATGTGCTATATTTTGAAGGCCCAAATCCAGTTGGGAATAGGTTATAAATAGAAGCTTTGTAACCTAGGATCTTCATATTATCTCTATTTTTCTCCAATTAAAATAATTCCAAATAATTACTCTAATTATCTAAAATTATTAAAACACCCGATATCACTTAATTCCCACCATAGCATCATAACTCACATCATATTCATCAAAATATTACATAAACTCGCAAATACATCACAATTACTCATTTTAATATAATTAAATAATTAAATAAATAATCTAATCAATTCGGGGTGTTACACAGTTTATTCCCATAGACCCCTTAAATTTTTCTCCTCCTAGGGCCCACAGATATATATATGCCATGTATGATGTTTTCCTTAATCATCTTGTACCATATGATGCATGAAGTGCCCTAGATCCTAAAACTAGAGTGTTGCATATGACTACATCCAAATGTATTTCAGGGTGTCACATTCTTATATGACATTGAATGTTATATGAGATCCACCTAGGCCAACTCATCAGGAGATATTAGAGGAGGAGCAGGCTAGACAAATCATGTTGTTGATATGTTGCCTAGATGTTGATGTGTCATGGATATTGTAGAGACATGTGTAAATGAAGGATTTTTTTCAAAAGACTCTGAGGCTAGGGATATTCTAGATGCCATCCTTACCGAGGCACGTTCGATACTCCAGAACATGAGGCACGTTCTATAGAATGTCATGATATATCATGACACCAGACACTCTTGAAAGACCACTCATGCCATCTAACTATGAGGTAATTAAGGGTAGGAATGACCATACCCAAGACGTAAGCATCATGATTTGACGTATTGTGGATATGGTGAGATCGGGCAATGACGCATGCCTTTTTTAGGAAGGAAGTCCCCAGTTGAGCCTCGTAGAAGACATTATTGCTAAGACACTGAATGCCTTACACTACAGACGAAGAATCCATGGGGTTAGACACATTCAATAATTTTTGTTTGGTTGTATTATTTTCTGTATTACCGACAAGTTATGTATGGTCGATACATTTTGATTTTACTTTAATTAACGTGTGAATTTTTTAATGTATGTGTAGCATGTTCGAGTCAATTGGTGCATTCATAAAATATAAGTTAGTAAAAAAAAATGTCAATGCTGAGACAATAATGCTACTTTGAATAAAATTTGAATAAAATTTTAAATGACTTTAGAAGATATTTCAGACATGTATCATCGAAAATCCCTTTTAAAATTATGGAGATATATTTCTGAATTAGATTTTGACAAAAATAAATTATTTTATAAAATAAGAAGGTTTGTATGATTTAAGGTGCGTGTACATCTTTAGATATTATGAAAAACTTTTCTAGTAATAGTATGTGGCGCACCATATAGAATGGAAAATAACATTTCCCTATATTTACTTTTGCAAAAGGAAATATCACAGATGAGAAAACTCAAACATAAGGGATTAATATGAAAAGAAAACTCAAACATAAGTTAAATAGTACGAGTACGGTTAACTAATCTTATCCATCCACTAAATCCAACGGTGGAAAACCACGTGTACATGGAGGCTCATATTTTTGGTACACCATGATATGGAAGAGTCCTCGCAGAAGGTGATCCCAACTTCATTCAACGTTCGTTCGTGCTTACCGTTCTTCGTCTCTCTCACCAGGTAAGACCTTTTCTCTCTCTGCTGCTGCTTCAGATCTATCTTTTCAATTTCAATGGCTATCCAACCTTTTTCAGATTCGATGTGTCTTCTTTTTACCAACTGTTTCTTCGATTTCACCACTATCCTGGCCATTGGACCGCTAATCTGTTTTGGAATGGAACCGTAATCCAAGTTCAACGCCTATCACCACTGAATAAACTAACTATCGATGGATTTCTTTTCTGTTAACACCATTATATACCGAGAAAATTAATCACTTCTATTCAATCTCCTTCTTTGTTTATTCATTCGTATGACCTTGTTTGGATTTGGATAATAAGCTTAATCAGGTCTCTCATACCTTATTACAATCTCTGATTCAATAGAATTCTAGTTTAACTCACTCTACAGTTTAGGAAAATAACTTATGACTTCAAATTTGTCGCTAATGACCTATGACTTGTAAATTCTAGTTTCTAAAGTTGTTTATTTTTATAAGTAATGTTAACGGTTCTACTTCTGTTAAAGGAATGTATCATTTGTGTTGCAAATTGGAATTATATTCTGAAGAAACTGAATTCGGCACTTTTCCAATTCCTGATATAAAAACTAGTTCTGATTTTAGTTTTTGGTAGAACTGAATCTGTGAATCATTTCTGCATTCCCTTGATATTGACGATGGCATCCATTTTATAGTTGTGTATTAATGTGTGATCAAATTTTTTAATGACAAATTTATCTAGGTAGTATATTTTTTGTAGTTGTGAAAAATGTTTTTAAGTTGATCCATGTTATAGAGATTCGACATAGTTTTATGTTGTCTGTTGACTGCCTAACACAACCCTCTCCTTTTATCCAGATGTGTGGTAAGACTAGACATGATAAGATTAAAAGTGACAGTATTAGAGAGACTGTTGGGGTAGTACCTATAGTAGAAAAGGTGGTAGAAAATAGACTTAGATGGTTTGAACATGTAGAGAGAAGACCTATAAATTCTGTAGTGAGAAAAGTAGATTAGGTGGAGATGAATCAAAGAGCTAGGCCAATCTTTCTGCATGTGAGATTGTGAGTCTGATGCTGCTAGTGTAAGTTGGGGTAGCTAGGAATTTTAATGGCTAGCAATCTGATACTGTCACTCACTGGAAATATTTTCCCAGCAATTGTGTATTGCTCATAATCCCTTTTGTACTAAAAAGGTCTTCAATATTTTAAGTAAAACATTTTTTTTGGGCAATGTGTGATATGCTAAATGTCGGCATATCCCTTTTGAGTCCATGCTTTTAATGTAACTGAATTGGGTTAACAATACAGCTGGCGATGTGTGATTGCTAAATATCAGTATGAATAATGTAAGAAAGTGATATTGATTAGATTTTACTTGATACTATTTTTCATTAAAAATATTTTAGGGTTTCAAACCCTCCTTCCTTGGATGAAAAGTCACTTTTTATTACATAGTTCATGATCTGTTTATTTCACTTTCCCCCCATGTGATCCTCTAATTTTGAATTTTCATGTTACTAATTATGCCTTAGAATTGGATTGATGGTGATTTGTGTGTCTTAAGTATTTTTTACTTTCGATCATGAATATGTCTTCAATTGAGTAATCTTTTATTTTGAGGACTGATGTGCATGTAAAAAATCGTGTCCAACATTAGTTTGCTGCTTTAAGCTACCCATGAAACTTAAAGACATTGCACGCAAACAGTTATGGTTATTTTAAATCTGATGTCTGATGAAAGTAACTTAAATGATCTTTTATGCCGAGGATGCATTTTTTTTAGCTTTATATTAAAATTCTGACCCCAACAACAACATTTTTGCAGTTGTGAAAGTATGAATTGGGTTCAGCGAAAGATCCACCTTTACAATGTTACATTTGGGCTTTATATGCTGGATTGGTGGGAGCGCTGTACTTTTAGTATCCTTTGTTGCAAAATTTATCCTACAATGCAAAATTTTGATCATTTGTAGTTTTACTTATTTGGGGCTTTCTGTATTAATCAACAGTGGTTTTAGTTGTCTTTTTGGATGGAAAGACAACTCAAATCATGTTAGAGATTTTTGACAAAAAAAGTTGAGGAATTAATTTCTTGAATTCATATGCTTTCTTGTCTATTATGGTACTGGTTTTAAGATTTCCTTAACTACTGCACAGATATTTTGGTGATTGTACTAATGTGTTTTGTAGTGCGGTACATTACTCAGTTTGTCAAGAGGTAGTGAATTTCCGCCCTTCTCATCTGTCTTTTAAATTAGTGACATAAATGGCCTTTTCTTAACATGTATGTAAGTTTACTGTATTATTATAGTTATATACAGTTATTAAGTCGGCCAATTTTTATAGCAATTATTTTTGCTGATTAGATTAATATAATATTGCAGAGAATATATAACTGCATATACATAGGAAACAGCATACATTGACAAATCTTCACTAATGGATCGATATACAGATTCTATAAAAACTGAAACTCTTTATCCGAATGGATTACGTTTTTTCCAACAAAATCGATCTACTTTTCAAAAAAAAGTTAATAGTTTTATTTTTTGTACATCCTTTAAATAAAGTTGCATTCAAAATACAAATACTCGAGATCTTCAAATAGTCTAATACTCTATTGCTAAAGCTTCATAGATTGCAATTTTAACATTTAGCAGGTGACCTTGTTTTTCAAAACCAGCATGGATATGGAGTCTGACTTCTTTATTATTTATGATCCTGCAAAATTACAAAAGATATATGTATATTGCTGTAGAAATTATTGTCAGTTTCACCTATTCTTTCCTTATCTAAAGTTAGTCTACTCTTCCAATATCAGGTATGTCTTTTTGTTGTAAGAAGCAAAATCATTTTCACATGAAGAAGCAAATGTAGATCTTTACTTGAAGACTTAAATTAGCTGCAACTCGTGTGTTTGGCATAGATGGTTAGGGAACATATTTTGTAGCAATTTGATATGGACTGACTTGGTGCTTCTTGAAACTGCCAAAAAAATTAGCGACCATGCCTGTGATACACAGTCATGAACCTTATTTAAACATTTCTGTACTTGTAAGTCTGTGATACATAGTCATGAATCTTATTTAAACATTTCTGTGAACATTTCTGTTTAAGACGATTGGCATTCGTTACATTGTAATAATTATTTGAGATGTTCATTTCTGTGTTTTGAGCAGTTGAAAGTGTGTGTTTCTCCAGTGTGCTGATAAAGGTCTGGTATATTTAATGTTAAATATTATGACTCCTTTACTTAATACTCTTACTATAGTTATTCATTTATTTCAACTTTGCCATGCTGGTCCTTTCATATTTCATTTTGTTCCCAAACATTGGTATTTTGAGGACTTTGTTTGATTATATGCCTATTGGCTGAGACAATCTGCTATCACTATCTTGATTCTCCAGAAAATGGAAATCAGCTACTTGACAATGGCTAACTTGATTCTCCAGAAAGTGGAAATCAGCTACTTTAAATTTAAAGTGATGTGTTTGGTAACACGGTGGAACACCGCAGTTGCATGTTTAAGGTTTTTTTTACAGTGATTTTGAGAAGCTGGTATGTTATGTCTCACCGTGATATCCATCGTGATTTTCAAGTTTTCCCAATACACACTAAGTTCACTAACTTCAATGTTGTCAGATTTTGCCTTTTTATTTTGGGTTGGTACATTCACTATAGATAAAACACACGAATAAGCTAATAACCTCAAGGTTTCAGTTATGAGATCTGTATGACTTACATTTTTATACACTCTAGGTGTTAGCTCGTAATCTTTAGAGAAGAAGAAAAGACAAAAGGTGTTGTATCACGTGACATTGAGGGTCTATGTATTTTGTCTCCACTTGACTTCAATTATTTTAAAAGAGGTAAGTGAATAAACTCCAGTCCGCTTCTCTTGTAGTGGACATGAGTCTCCCTTCTAGATTCTAAATCTACCGTTTCCTTGAATTGATTTGTGCATGGTTTGAGTCGCAAGGTTGGATCTGGTATGCACACTTTCTTTTGGAATGACCTTTGGGTGGGGCCCATCCCTCTATGAGTTTCTTTTGATAGGCTATTTTCAATCCCTGAGTAAAATGAGTAAGGTGAGTGGTACCAGTATCTGTGTAGATGGGGGGTGTCACAGTCTGGAATTATCTTCGGAGAAGACTTCTATTTGACTATGAGCAGGATTTAGTGGATCATTCAGAGTGTTACTTTCTCGCTAGAAATCTATGGTGTTGGTTGTCAGGCGATAATAGTATCTATGTTGTTGGGGTCGGGATTGGGTTCCTTTGTGTGTATCTCACTTAAATTACTCTCTCATCTTTCATTCAGAGTGTTACTTTCTCGCTAGAAATCTATGGTGTTGGTTGTCAGGGGATAATAGTATCTATATTGTTGGGGTTGGGGGTGCCAATGTGAGTATCTCACTTAAATTACTCTCTCATCTTCTTTCTTTCCATTTTTTGACTTTCTCAATCTTTAAAAGTAACTAAAGTTACCAAAGGCATGTGACTTGAAAGTCGCTGAATCCAATCCCATATTGTTGCCTCTGTCTACTACAATTTTTCTGAGCCTCATATTTCTACTCAGGGGTTTGTAAATTTTCCGATTGAGGCCCAAATCCATACCAAATTTAAATCCGTTTAAAATATTTGGATATAATTGAGTGGTTGATAATCGGTTTAATTATTAATAGTTTGGTTATTCATCTAAATAATTCAGATATAATTAAATAGTTATTAATCGGTTAATTTTTTTTATTCGATTATAATTTGGTTTTTATTCAAAATTCAAATGTTTTAATTCAATTATAATATTTTTAATTTAAAAAAAAATAAAATTATTTTCTCAATTTTTTTTTTCAGAAAAAATAAAAATTTTATTAAAAAACTTAATCTTTTAAAAAATGTTTATTTTTGGAAAAAATAGTTTTCTTTTTTTTTATAAAGTTACAAAAAATGTTTTTTTTTAATTTGGAAAAAAAAGTTTCAAAAAATATATATTTTTTAAAAACTAAATTTCGTTTTTTTTTTTAATTTTGAAAAAAAAATCATTTTTTTCAAAAAAATTTATTCCCAAAATATATTTTTTTAATAAAAAATTCGGATTCTTTTTTTATCTTGAAAATAAATTTATAAAAAAATTATTTGAATGGAACTTAAGTTTAATTATATAATTAAATAAGTAGTTTTCACATATATTTAATTATTATTTTTGTGTGATTTCGTTGTTTTGTTATAATCTTTGTACAAAATTGTCTTTTTATGTGTATTGATGCTGTGTTAATTTGTTTCAGATTAATCAATGGTTTTTCATTAAAATCTGATTGTTTACTTTTGTGTCATCAACATTGTAGACTAGATATATTGATATTTCAAACGTTCTAATTTTCTCATATTTATTGATATTATCATGTATATATGCAATTTATTATTTTATATTATTAAACAGAGTGTCGTGAATTTGTTCATGGTTTCGTCTTTTATTTTAATAAAGTTATATTTTTCTTAATCGATTTAATCAATGTACTCTATTAGTTTTTATTAATTCAAATAAATAAATATCGTTTAGTTTTTAATAACTTTTTTTAAGAAAATGAATAGGTTAAAGAAATGAGCAATGAGAAGCTACATTGGATTTGAAGAAAACTATGTTTTATGAGAACATGCTTAAGCCAAGTGGGAAGCAAAAGAAGAAAAGCTCAAATGGATTTAAGCACAGACAAAGCGAACCTCAAACTTAGGAAAGGACTCAAGAAACTATATGTTTCTATGGGGAAAAATAATGGAGAAAGATGCTTTAAATGACCAATCAAAAAAGAAACATAAAGAAACGCATGGCAGTGATCATGTAGGAGAAATCAATGGTGTAGGGAAGATATTAGAGAAAAATATTAATATAGTTATCATTGCCGGTGCTCCAAACGTTGAAGTGTTAGATTCAAATGACATCTTTGACACTAAACTCAGATAAAGGAAAGGGTGTTTGATTCACAAGCATTGGTTGCAAATGCTAGTGTGCAAGAGTTCTTGGAAAAATCTTGTGCTAATATTGCGGATCAAGTTGAAGAGGATGATTAAAGTAACGAGGGCTCACTAGACGATGGAATTGAGAAATTAACATGTCATCTCATAAATTAAGTATGTCATTCTTTAATTTTATTTATTCTAGTTCTGCTCTTGATGAGATACAAATAATTTTCTGACAAAATTTTAAGTAAAATAGATGAAATTTTCGGTACAAAACAAATTTTCGGTACATCCCTACTAAATTTTCGGTATGATTAAATTTTCGGTTGTGCATTTGAAATTTCTGGTAAACCGGAAATTTTAAATTTACGTGGCATTACCGAAAAATTGAGTTATACTAAAATTTTTGATAGGTTATGTATTCAAGTTTTTTCAACGGTCAAGATTTTGTCGACATATTTAGAGAGTTCTGATTGCACCGACACGTTTCTGTGGTCTAGAATGCATCACCATTTATATAAATAAGGGTTTCAGGTTATAGGGTAAGACATCTCAAAAAATGCATCTTCCTGAGTATGTGATTAATGCAGAAGTGTATTACAACGGATGCAACTCTGCTGTTGAATTCAAGATTCCAGATGGTTCTGAATCCCTTGCCATCTTGAATGGAACATTGCATGGTTTGATGCCTGATTCCGATAACAGAAGGATGACAAAGGTCGAGTTTCTGGAGGATTGAATTGATACAAATGGAAAGGTGAAATACAACCTAATCGAGTTGAAGAATGATGCAGGTGTAAAGGCCATGTAGAAATCATTTCATCGTAGGATAACTAAAGGTCTGATCGAGTTAGATGCGGAGATCTGAAGATCCATCAACTGCATAATGAAGATGCTGAAAAATTCAGAGTCATCCGATAATGTCTAGGTTTTCATGTTTAGTTGTTTTAAGGTTATGTTTGTTGTACTATGTTATGTTATGTTCATCATCTAATCAAAACATGTAATCGCCAAGAGATTATGCAATAAATAAGATGTTTGTATGTCACTATATATATATATATATATAAAATACAACCATAATAAAAAAAATCTACATATGCCCTCCACGGGCTACATTGGCTAACCTAGCTAAACTAATATATACCTCATCATCAGGGTTTACCAAACTCATGAGGCTATCTAAATGAACTAGCAAGCTGCCTGGTCTCAACATGAAAAACAACATCAAGTATCGTGTACAACATGGTCAAAGTCGTCACTCCCCAAGTCCAATATGGAGTGTCAAGTGTGCTGAACAGAGACATGTATTAAACATCAATGTAAACTCCAGACTTATCTGCAAAGAGAGTACATGCCACTAGATGTAACATGTACGCCCTAACGGCAGCATGATACCTACGTACCTCCACAAGCTCCCCAAACAAGTTCCTCAGTCAAAACATCTGAAGGTGATATCCCCGGGTTTCACAAAACTCCTTTAGCACATTCGCCTCATACACCTCCAAGTAATCCACAACCAATCGCACCATCGTTAAATGGTTAATAACTAGTGGTGTGAAGAATGTACCAGTAACCGGAATATGAAATAACTGGTCGACATCATCTAATGTGACAATCATCTTCCCAAATGGAAGATGAAAATATGATGTCTTTAGGTTCCACCTCTCAATAAAAGCAGATGATAAGAAGGCGTCCAGCATGGTCAAAGAGCACTAAGCAAAATCCAACAGATAAAAATCTCAAACGATACTCCTGACCTCCTCAGGCATCGAACTCTTAGGGAAGTTCTTCAACTTCGAACTATGAGAAGTGACTTTCAGCACCGAAAGCTCCTGTAAGAAGCAAAAATAAAATATTATACATGAAATCTTGTAAGTAT